TAATGGGTCTATGGGAGGTGATTGGCAGAAGGCGGTCTCTCAAGTACCCAAGTCCAATACCATGTAGGGCTTTATAAGTGACAACTAGCACCTTGAAGCGTATCCGGAGACCAATAGGCAGCCAGTGCAGCTTGCGGAGGATAGGTGTAACGTGGGCGTACCGAGGCACAATCCCACAATCGCTCGAGCGGCTGCATTCTGGACCAGCTGTAGTCTCCGAATACTCTTCAAGGGCTGCCCCATGTAGAGCGCGTTGCGGTAGTCCAGTCTTGAGGTCACAAGGGCATGATGATAAGTTGAGGACTACCTGTACATAGCTTGCATTTGAAGAGGTAACTGAATACCTAATTCTCTGGATTATAGTTCCTTAGCATTTTTCTATTCAGAAATACTGGTAGGGTTGCAACTTGCCTTTATTAAAAACTGTGTGTAGTCAAAGGATATAAGCTGTAGTAGAACAGTTTCAGGAAACCTTTGAGGCTTTTGTAATTCAAAGAGCACGCTATATTTCCCTATGGCGAACTTATGGCACGCATGCCACAAGAGGCACGCAGCGCCCTCTCTGCGGGCACACGAGTCGTCGGCCCAGCTCAGCTGCACTGTGCATGTGTGGGCACCTCCTGCTGGCCAGCTGGTTTTCAGGTCTCTGCTGCGCAGGAGCATGGTGCATGTGGGAGATGCATGTGCATGCATGGGGGAAGGTTGCATATGCGTGGGGGCTTGGCGTGCACAGGGGGGGTCGCACATACATTGAATTATGGGTTTCGGCTCACTGCTATAGATAGTCTCTTCATGGAAGCAGGAAAACCTCTCCTTATAAAATGATTATCATAGTGAGTAAGATTGTTTTTTTCCTGAAAAAAAGTCTCACTTCCACATAAAAATAGTGGTTTGCACTACTCACAAGTTTGTTTTTCAAAAACTCCTCTGAGAATTCCTCTGCACAAACTCCAGCAGCCTTATTCTACATAAACACGATGCTAATGTCTTCGCTTTACAGTACACTTATCTGCCATTTATTAATTAAATGGACTCTTTTTAAGAAAATAAATTGAGGCAGATAGCCCTGTGAGGCAGCATTAGTAGAACTGCATGCATACTGATGTCCACAGCATAGTATTGTTTATCTCTGGTGTAGGGTGTCCAGTGATGCTGAAAATGAGGGGAAAAAGTTAGGCCTTTCTGTGAGCCATATGAGAAGAATAAATTGAGAAGACTGGCATACCGGCCTTCCTCAAAATAACAGATTTTCAGATGACTAGATTTCAGTGACAGGTAGTTCTTGATTCCCGTCCATTTGCAGATTACAGTGGCACTGAGTATAACAATTGTGGCATAAACGTCTCCGGAACCACCTTGTTCTGACTGAGGTAGGAGTGGGGAGCTATGGCTCCTTTATGACTTGTGGACTTCAACTCCCAGAATTCCTGAGCCAACCAGTCTAAAAGGAGCCATAGCTCTCCACTCCTATCATTGTATTTAACATTGCATTTGATAAATAAGGTTGTAACGTTCCCGTGGTTCGTCCATGAGGCCAATGTGGAGAAAAGACAGGACACGATCTTTCTCGGGATGGAGCGACCCAGATTGGGGGTCTGAGAGCCCCTTTTATTGAGATAGGA